AGTTAAACCGAGATCATTGTTTAAATACTTGTTGAAATTTGTAGCAATTTACAAGCTGAAGTTAAACCGAGATCATTGTTTAAACACTTGTTGAAATTTGTAGCAAATTACAAGTTGAGTTAAACCGATATAATGTTCAAATGCTTGTTAAAACTTGAGAAAAATTTACAAGCAGAGTTAAACCGAAATGATGTTTAACACTTGTTGAAATTTGAGAAAAAATTACAAGTCAAGACAAGGTTATACTGAAAAAAGTATTTACATACTTGCCGAGATTACCATGTTGCCAGGACTTGGAAAATAATGAAAGATAGAAGTCTTAAGAAGTAAAAGAAAAGTGGCGAATTTTTTAGCAACACTTGTGAAAACATTTGTTACAATGTTTTCAAATATTAAACCGAGGCTGAGATAAACCGATTAGTGGGTACAACCGAGATGTTACACCCTGAGGAGATTACACAGTTAAGGTGTAAATTGAAGACATGCAAATTATTTTTCCATACAAGAGTAAAAAGAAGAACACATCGGCTAGAAAGGATCTGTGACTACGGCATGAAGCCAACTTCCATAATGTGATCCTAAGTGCAACTTATGTTCACATTAGTGGGCAAGGAGAAGGAATGATAATGTTACCACTTGTTGAAATTTTAAAACAATTTACAAGTTGAAATAGTTAAAGATTACGAAGTCTACCACTTGTTGAAATTTTTTAGCAATTTACAAGTTTGGTATAGCCGAGATCACATTAAAAGACGTTTTCCGAGATATGATCATCCGAGATGACCAACTAGCTTGTTAAAAGCTTAGAAGGTTGGAAAAAGTAATGCATGTATAAAAGAAGGCAAGTACAAATGAGGAAGCAACACTTGAATACCTCTGTTAAAGAACACACTTGTAGAAATAAAGTACCGAGGCTATGTTAGTCTGAGGTGTACTACCCCGAAATGATTTGTAGGATATATTCGAAAAAAGTTGAAAAAATTCTAAAGTATGGGGAAGCATACAGGCAGTAAGCAGAAGAAAGCATTCAATACTCAGAAAAATACAAACATGCATTAAAAGAAGCACTTCGACCTGGTAAAGTGATTTCTTGTTCAAATACAAAGCAGTGGCGCATCAGCGAACAACAGACATTGTTCAGAAGCAACAAAGTTACATACGCAAAGACAACAAAAGTACAAGAATGAAGACCCTAAGAACTAGGGACTAAAGCAAGAACGTCGGACTGATTTCACTACTACAAATATAGATAAAGATCACACTTTTTTGGTGTGATGTATATTTTTTAATCACACCTTTTAAGTTTTATTAAAGTGTGGTACGTGGTTCTAAGACTATGCGGAAAACAGAAACGAGGGCAAGAATCTGGAAATACAACAAGAAAAGACAAGAAGAGAAAATTTAGAGCCAAGAATAGTGGTGAATCATCAAGAACACTGTGACAGAGTATATGCAAGGGTACAAGGCCAAGAACAGTGGCAAAAGTGCAAGAAAGTTGTGAACAGTATGCGTATTCAAGACTTGGGCAAAAACAAAATCATGAAATAGACACACTGAGATACATGATTCATGAAATCGAATACTTGAGCAAAACGGCAATGGCAACAAGTAATAAAGCAAAAACTCTTGAAGAGCAACAAAAATTGAAACTAGGAGGAACAGTGGCTTACCAGAAAAAGTGAAGCCGGTATGAGGATCGCTGAAATCAGACGACGGCAGCAGTCGGAAAGGATCAGCAAAAGTCTCACCGGAGGAAGAGAGTGAAACTGGTTGCAGAAAGCTTCGCAAAAGCAGCAAATGGAAGATTTGAGAGGGTTGATTTTGATCAAAAGCATGAAATGGCGGCAAAATGGCAATTATGGTGCTTGGGACGACGTGTTTGTCAGACAGCGCAAGTAAGTGCGAGACGACTTAATGGCGCATATCAGACACAGCTCCGTAGAGGAAAGATGCGTGACGGTTTCGGTTGAAATATTGTACATGCCAGTTCATACGCGTGATGAAACACTTGGAGTTTTTGATTTAATGAAACAAATACCTCGGCTAGGAGGACGGTTTCGGTTAAAAAACTTGGACAAACTTGGTTGTTGGTTCCAAAGTATTGATGAAAGCAAATTATAGGTCTCGATCATATTAAGCCAACGAGTTCTGACTTCAGCAATAGATGATGAAACTAGCTTAGCCGACGTGCTAAATGGAGGGAATGATATAGGTTCCATCACCTCAGGATGCCGAGGTAATAGAACCTAGGGGCAGTTGTGGGGACATAATTTTTGAATGACAACACGTGGCCGAGGTGTCACTGAAGTACCGGCCGAGGTGTCACCGAAGTGCCAGCTGAGGTGCCACATGTCCTGGTCATGATGCCGAGATGATCTTGGTTAAGCCGAGGTTATCAACGAGAATACCGAAATCCAAGATAAGCAGATAAAGAACAAGAGTCCTAGAATGGGAGGAGAGTTCAGTTTGGGTAAAGATAAGACTCTTAGAGAGCTTATCCTAATCCTATTGGGAGTCCAAAATTAGCAGTAATCCTGAGTCCGTTGGAGTTAGGCTTTCATTGGGACTAGGATTGAGTTGGCTATAAAAGAGAGACACCCCTATGGGTCTAAAGTATGTCTTTTTATGCTCGAGCTAGTGAGTTTAGCACTATTGATTATCTTTGAGAGATATTGAGTACTGACTTGATCGTCGGAGTACCCCCGGGTGGCGAACTACCACCAGAGTCTTCTTTTTCTGTTGCAGGTTAGTCAGGTGCTATATATTCTGTCGGTGCTCTCCAGCTGGATACTAAGATTGCAGTGTAGTTAGATTTTCACCTACACATAGGGTGTGTTTGATTGGGGGGATAAGGGGGGGACTATCTACTGTTTGGACTCTATGTCCGGCCGGACTCCATGTCCCCATATGGGGGACTATCCTGTCCTGGGGGGGGGGATTGTTTTGGGGGGACTAATCACTGTTTGGATTAGATGCGAAAATGACAATTTTGACCCTCTACTATTTAATTATGTATTATATTTAATAAAATTTAAATGTCTCAATTTAAAAATAAAATAATTTTATTTAACTTTTTATTAATGTTTTATTTATTTAATTTTTTAAAATAATTTTTTTGATGTTTTATTTTAAAATTTTGTTTATGTTTTATTTAATTTCATTGTTTAAATTTAATAGATGTTTTAATAGATGTTTTATTTAAACAATTAAATGTTTAATTTCAACAATAAATAATTTCATTTATTTAAATTATGTTTTATCTAAACATTTGTACATCAACATGTTTATTAAATTATTTCAACATCTGTACATCAACATGTATATTTATTTAACATCTATTAAATTATGTTTTAATACGTCAACATTTGATTACATTTACATTTGTTAATTGTTAATTACATCAACATTTGTTAATTGTTTAAACATAATCTATACATCAACATTTATTTAATTGTTAATTGTTAATTGTTTAAACATAATTTGTACATCAAAATAATTTCAATGTTAATTGTTTAAATAAAAATTTAAACATTTAACCATTAGTATGTTTAATTTCAACAATAAATTTTTATTTGTTTAAATAAAAATAATCTATACCAGTCAAATTTTTTTATCAATATTAGTATGTTTAAATATCTTTAAACAAAATTTAACCATTAGTATGTTTAATGTTTACTAAAAATAATTAAAATATTAAAGATATGTTTAATATTGCTATTACTTAGTAAACAATTGAAAAAGGGTAAAATAGTCTTTTGTTCATTTATCATATCCAGTCCGTCCAACCAAACGTTGGATTCACTGAAAATAGTACTAACCAGATATCTAATCCCATGAAAAAACAAACACAGGATACATATCCAATCCGACCAAATAGTCCGGGGGATTCACAGTCCTAGGACTCAAGTCCGATGGATTTTAATCTCCATTTTCCAGTCCGTCCAATCAAACACACCCATAGGGTAAACCATAAATATAACTCATTACATTTGTTTAAAATATAAATTATTTTTTATGATTTTAAAAATTATATTTAACTTTTTAAAATTTTTAATTTCATAATAAATGATTCACTTTATCAATAAATTATTAAGTTAATTAATAATTTTTAATTATGTCAGAAATATATTTCAATAAATAATTGAACTAATTTTATTATTATATAGGAGAGTAGTTGAAAATTTCTTTTTTTCAATTAATTTTCTTAAATAAATTTTTTTATAAGATAATATTTCTAATTTTTTAAATTATAAAAAAAAACATTTCGTATCTTAAGGGTTCATTTGGAAAGTGAGTTAGCTTTTTAGTTTTTTGGTTTTTTGCTAAAAAACCTCGTTTCAAAAGAACCATTTGATTTTTTTGACTTTTTATGAGAGAAATAATATAGTGATTATGGATTGGATGCGATTTTTTTTCTTATTGGATTAAAAAACTTATTTTATCTTTTTGTGACTCAAATAGTTTCAAACCCAATCTAACCCTTCTTTCCAAACGAAACCTAAATAAATTTCAAATAATGTGTTTGGACTTTAACTTAATATATATATATATATATGTATATAAAAATGATAAAGATCTTCTTTTTTTCTTGTCTCCCACAATCTTTACAGACACATATCAGTGAGTGATAGTATGAAAAAATAAAAAAACAAAACAAAAAATAAAAAGTTAAAAGTTAAACAATTCTAATATATTGAGGATTGTGAAGGTCATGAAAGAAGGAAAAAAAAAAACTCAACCTTTTTCATATATATATATAATATATCACTCTAGTTTGTTTAAAGTACCGTCCCTGTGTACCTCTGACAACATAAGATAGAGGACAAAAAAACACCTCATTGCTTGGCTGTAATTTCAGAGGCTTAGCTCAAAACCATGCAGATTCCTTCTAAAGGACAGCCCCGAAATTAAAATCAACACAAAACCCTAAGCTGCAAAATCTTCAGTCTTCCCAGAAGGTAAAAGAAAAAGAAAACTGTAAAAAAAAAAAAAAAAAGGGCTAGAAAATAAAGTTCATGAGCCATGGAAATTCGTGAAACAGAAACATTGTTCTGAAAATTAAAAGACCTATTCACGGATTCCACTGAACTACTCACGGATTGAGTTCTTGGAGTTCGCGATGATCAACACAACGTTCCAAACTCTCTAATTGATCTCTTTGGAATTCTCTGTAGCAACTTGGTGTTGTTCTATCTACATTCTGTCCCTCACTTTCTCTTCAATTTTCTGGAAAACCAATCACGGGTTGCTCATAGAATTCAGCTATAAAATCTCTAGGATCAAAACCCTAAAAAACCCAAGAAGAAAGTGTAGCAGTGAACCTTTAGAAGCCTTAATTCATGGGTGGTTCAAAGGTCTCAGCAATGTTCTTCATATATTTGATTTTCATGTTAATGGCTTTGCCACCTATATATGCTTGTGGGTATTGTCCAACACCGCATCCGCCTTATCATCGCCCTAGTCCACGGCCCCACCCACCAACCACCAAGCCTCCACCGCATCACCGTGGTCCCCCCAAGGTGTCACCTCCTTCAATCAACCCACCTGGCATCGTGCCGCCAATTATTCCTCCACCGGTTATAACTCCTCCGATTATAAACCCACCCGGTGTAATCCCCCCTATTATAAACCCTCCGGTAACCAATCCTCCGGTGACAATCCCACCACCTTCTTCACCATATCCACCCTACACCGGACCTCCTTCTGGCGGTGGCGGTGGCGGTGGCGGTGGTGGTGGTGGAGGTGGTGGGGCTCCGGGTGTTAACCCACCGCCTAAAGCTCCACCGACTTGTCCGATTAATGCTCTAAAATTAGGGTTATGTGTTGATGCACTTGGAGGTTTGGTGCATATTGGACTAGGCAATCCAATTGAGAATGTGTGTTGTCCAGTGCTTCAAGGGTTGCTAGAGCTTGAAGCAGCTATTTGTCTATGCACTACAATAAGGCTTAGGCTTCTAAACCTAAATATATTCATTCCTCTTGCACTTCAAGCTCTCATAACTTGTGGGATGACTCCTCCACCTGGTTTTGTATGTCCTCCTCTCTAAATCTACTTGTAATTTCGGTGAACTGAGTTTGAATGGTTTGGTTTCTGTGTGCTTGTAGTTCTTGTGTTTGATCAGTTTGGTTTGGTTTTTGAGTCGTTTGTTGCGTTTAAAATTTGGGTTTTAGGTGTGTAGATTAATGAGGGGATGTTGTTGAAATTAATGTGCTATTAATTTGTTGACTCTCCTAAATTCTCTCTTACTCAATCATGATTTTAAATAAGAGTATTGGTGTGTAGTAATATTTTATGAATAATGCTAGAGACCCCAAATATTTTATCAAAAGTTTTACCAAATGTCTTACATGGGTGTCGGACTCACACAATGTGGGTCCTACGTGGGTCCTACACCCATGTAAGACATTTGGTAAAACTTTTGGTAGAATTTTTGGGGCCTCTAGCATTTTTGATATTTTATTGAAGATTACTATTCAGGTTTAAAAGTTAAATTCACTTTTTAAATTAATGATCTGTTAAAAAAATAATTAGTTGATAATTAATATTCTTTACTTATCAAAGAATAATATTATTGACACATCATTGAGTCTAAAAAATAATTCTAAAAAGTAGATTTTTATATCATTTTTATATTTATTTTATTTTTGCAAATTGGGTGTTCGGTATTTATGCGCACTTCAACTAACCTCGAGAAGCTAACTATCGAGTAAATCTCTAGTGATCCCAAAATTTGAAATATTTGATTTTCATAAGATTTGAACATGCAGTGTCTTGGTAAACCATTTGGTTACCTTTTCTCTTTTCTTTTTTCTAAGCCAAACCGCTTTGGAGTATTTTCAGTGATCACATTAGAATCGTGTGGCATGATCATGAATATTTTAAAAATTATTATCTTCAAACAAATGTCGAGATCTATTGATCGAATCATTAATGGGCTATGAATTGATATTTATTATAATTTTTATTTCATTACAAAAAATAAGGTTTTAGAAACAAAAATTTAGGAATAAAATTATTTTTTAAAGACTAAATATTTTTGTTGTCGAAATTATCGTTATTATATTTTTAACAGCGCAAATTAGACATTAGTGATAAATTATTATTCTTTTAAAGCCAAATTATTGTCCCTATAAATGTATTTATTAGTAATATTTTTTAAATTTTGTCGCTAAAAGTCTTATTTTTGACTTTTTGAGATTACCTTTTGGCGACTATCCTCACAACTATAGAAATTGGTCTTTAAATATTTTTTGCAACAAAATTTTCAATTTTAGGGCTCAAAAAAATTCTTATATGTTGTATTTTCACCGACATACCAATTTTGATAATCCTTCTTTTTTTAATTTTTTATTTTGGAGATAGCGGGAATTAGTTATGGAAAAAAATATGAATTTTCTAGTTTCCCAAACTCTAGCAATTGCATAGATTCTTAGAGAAATGTCAAATCAATGGTATTTTCAAAAAATATTTATAAATTCAAGGAAATATTTATAACTTCAATTATTTTATTGTTTTTGATCAATCAAAAGAAAGTGGATAAAGTTTACCATTGATTTGAAGTTATTTTTTAAAAATATACACTGAATTGTAATTTTTTCTAGATTCTTTCACTGAATTGTTTTACGGGTCTAAAAGTGTTTCACTGCATAGAAACAAATTGTTTGGCCTTCTATTATTTCATGGACTATGGCTACAGATGAAACATATAGCCAAATAGTTTTTTTTTTTTTTTTTAAACAGTAAAAAAGCAACTTTATTGATGATAAATCAAGTAACAAATACAATGATGTCAAACAATAAAGGCCGATGGAGCAGAAAGCAACAAAGCGAAGATACACCAATTCCAACTAGTTGACACACAAACTTATAGCCAAATAGTTGACACATAAACTTTCATGAAAAGGGTTAGACAGAAGAAAAGGTGAAAATTAATATTTAGCTGTCTACTTAGAAGAAAAGTAAGATTATTGTCATTTCACACAGCTAATCAATAGTTCGTTTTACATCAAAGTATAAAATTTTATACATATTCTTTGGTCTGTTTTGGATAGCATATCACAAACAGTTTCATATATTTTAAACTTAGCTCTCATCATATGTTAGGAAGATTTTTGTCTCCAAAATTTTCTATCGTGTTATCTCAATCCATGGATTTTGAGTGTATTAAAATAGAATAATAGAGAAATTTAAGAGTAGACACTACGAGAAATTATAGAGAAATCATGTTTTTTGGATCTCTCTCTCTCTCTCCTTTTTTTGTTCTTTTTCATATCTAGTTTTCACGACAAATATTTCAAATTAGTTGCAGAATACAGCATTTCTGTGACTATATCACATTAGTCGTGGAAAATAAAAACTTTTGACTACTATTTTTTATTTGGTTGGCAAATATTTACTTTTTGTGACTAAATAATATTTAGGCCAAGTTTGGCATCTCCCCAAAAACCTAAAAAGTCAAAAAGTTACTCAAAAAATTAAAAAGTTATCACTATTCAAAAAAAAAAGTTAAAAAATTAATTTTTGCAAGCCAAGTACAACTCAGCAATCACAATAATCACTGCTCTGTGCTGCGTGTGGCTGAACAAATCTGAACAGATTGGGTGCAATTGAACACACTGCTGTTCGGCCCATGGGGACCCATCACGGGTCCCGTTTTGATAATCTTAACCGTTCAATGTGTAAAACTCGTCGAGTACTATATGTCTGTACAAAATCACATTGATCGGAAATCGATAACTATATGATCAAATCAGTTTTGTATTAAAAAAAAAGGATGGTGTTATAATTAACGATTGAAAAAAAAATCTAATCAGATAGCTACCGATATTCGATGAACGTGATTTTATATAGGCATATAGTACTCGACGAGTTCTACACATTCAACGGTTCAGATTATCAAAATGGGACCCGTGATGGCCCCCACGGGCCGAACAAAACCGTCCAATGCAATGCCCGAAAAGTAGCCAATAATTTCTTACACCAATTTGGCTCAACAACGCAAAAAACTAATCTTCTCCTACACACTTCTTTATACAATTTTTTAATGCACATATTTTCATAAAAAGTCAAAAAGTTAACCCAAACATCTATATTTTTTTCTCAACTTTTTAGTCTAAAAAGACAAAAAAATGCACTTATTTAGGACACCCCAAACAACCCCTTAGACCATCTCCAACGCTTCAGCAAACCTGATATCAAATTCAAAATTTGATGAAAAACCCACTTTTTTGAGCTCCAACGGTTTCACCAAATCGATACCAAATCCAGAATTCAGCAAATCTTGTACCAAAATGAGAACAGGCGAAGCATTTTACCAAATCACTGTTCCTAACCGTTGGGAGAGACCAACCGGTCAACCAGCCGGTTGCCCGGCCGGTTGACCAACCGGTTGACCGCCTAAAGGTTCAAACGGTTCGAAGAAAAAGGTTCAAACAGTAATAAAAAAAAATAAAAAAAAAAAATTTGCCTAACCGGTCGACCACTAAAAGGTTCAAAAAGTTCAAAAAAAAAAAAAAAATATTTCGCTTAACCGGTCGACCAACCGGTTGCCCCTGGTACAAATTTGATGAAAGTACACCGTTGGAGCGAGTGGTATCAAATTGGTAAAATGAGTCATTTTTTACTCAAATTTGGTGAAAAATCTGAGTAACCGTTGGAGATGCTCTTAGTCGGTAAAAGTAGATGGCAAAAATGTAATTTTTTGTAGTGAGATATTTCATTTTGTAATTTTCTTATTAAAAAAAAGTTGCAATGAATTAATTTGCGTTTGACATTTGATCAGAATAAGCAACTAATTTAAATAGTGATTTGGTATTCAGAGGTATGGTCCCTCCAAATTTCAAGTTCAAAATATTTTAAAAGCAAATAATTTTTTGAAGTCAATCCACGGAACAATATCTAGCTCGAGAGTTATCAAATATATATATATATATATATTGAATATGACTTTGACTCGTGGATATATGTTATTATTACAAAAAAAAAAATTGGATGTTCCAAAGATTGTTCACGAGAGTGTAATGGTGGTTAGGGTAATGGGGGACCATTTAATGTAACTAATTCAAGAGAACATGTTAAATAAAATCTTTATTAAAAAAAATATATATTAAAAATGTTCACAGAAAACAAAAATAAGTCAATTTTTTAGATTTTTTTTTTTTCAATAAAATTGGACTTATTTTTATTTTTAGTAATTTTTTTAATTTTTTTTAAAAAACATCTAAACTAAGTAAATAAAAAAAATAAAAATAAAAAAAAGACTCGAAATTAAAAATAATAAAAAAAAATCATTATGTCAAAATAGAATTTTATGACTGCACGAAAGCATGGAAAGACATAACATCCGATTCATCATTATGTCAAAATCAAAGAGTTTTGTCTTTGAGTCTTTGCCTTTTATACCGTGATGAACAGCCCTATAATTTTTGTTTTTTTTATCAGTAAAAATAAAAATTTTATTGATGAAAAAATACATAATATGTAAAATTACATCAACAAAGTAGGAAACTGTAAAAAGTATCATAGTTAACCTTGACATGGATAGGCCCACAAGGCATACGGCCCACAGTAAACCACCACAAACCCATCGCTTGGGACCAATGGCATAACCCGGTTGGCAAAGCCCAGGACAGCTGGAAGCCACCTAGACATGAAGGGCCAATGGCATTTGGGTACATGGCAGGTGGGACACGGGCCACATCAGCAGACAAAGATCTGCAGAGTTATTATCACAACACATCACCATTAATGCATCCCATCACAGCATTTATTACGACAGCACCCCCCGCCGGAACAGAGCCTCCATCACCCTGAACAAGGTAAGCTACGGCACAGGCTTTCGGCGAAGAAAAGCACGTCACAAGAGACAGGAAAAATGATAACTAAAGAATATAAGCAAGGATAGGAGGACAAGAATAAGGTTAAGCTATCTCTCTCTCTCAATCCCTCTCTACACAGTTTTTCTCATACTCTACTCTACTAATTCTCACACCGGAGGGTTCACTGGGGGACTACCCCGTTCCCCTCTGGGCTTGCATGCAGGTCACCTCGACCGAGTGACCTCCATCGGCTCCATCGATCTGCCTATCACCATCGGTGAGCACCCGCGGCAGACCACTAAGCTGCTCACAGTCTGGAGAACCTGGGCCGGTCCGACCCATCCACCCGGGAATCGATACATCATCAGTTGGCGCCGTCTGTGGGAAGTTACTGGTTTATTCGCGCGGTAGTTGTGTTCACTACCGCCGGAGCCCTCCCTTCTCACTATCA